CAGGAAACAAAGCTCCCATGATTAATCTTTCAGCTCTTATTAGACCTGAAACTAAACAATTGCTTTTAGACAAATGTTATGAGAATTTTCTTATATCTTCAGAAAGAACAGAAAACTTTACATATGACAAGATTTATGCTGCAGGCTTTATTCTTTTCACTTAGAATAGCAACGATGACCTAGATCTGTAGCTTTTCATTTAATAACGGCATAAAAAATGTTTGTATACTTTTTTTTTTCTGGTATTATTTGGCTTTATTCCGGCGGCTTTGATCAGTTCATTTCAAAAATAGATGCAGAATTCTGAAATAAACATGTCCCCAAACAGTTTTTTATTTAAAAGTCATATAGCACAGGGTATTTTAAAAGATTTTCGCACTAAGTATCTCTTCAGAAATTGGATTAAGGTCCATTAATCCAACTTAAAAAAAGTTTCAAACAAGATTTTTTGGAATACAAGTTAGACCACTTGGTAGGTTTAATAAAAATCCGTTGTTTGTTTTATCCCTGTAAACCAAGTTGCAACCAATAAATTGCCCCTTAAGCGACGAATTATCTTTTGAAATAATCATGTATCGGAAATATGTAAAATTAGTGGTGGAAAAAAGATCATCTGTATGACTTCAGCTTCTTTTCCTCAAAGAAAAGAATGAGGGGTCGAACAATTTTAGCAGCCAGCTATCCAAACCAAAATCAGATATTTCGTAACTGTAAATTATTCGCATTATGTTCAAAACGACTTACACTACAAACTAAAACGACTAACATTACAGTCTTAAAAGATTTACATCATATATAAAATTACAGCGTCCATCTTGTGCATGGAATTATATTCATTATGCTCTTAATTCCACTGTTTAACAACCTCCGAATAAAAATCAATTTAGGAAGCCAGGAAATTATTCGCAAACTTGATTAACTACTCCAAAGCCTTGCATTCTAAATGCGTGACTATCACGAAGCTTGTGAGTAAAACTAGACAACCCTGCTCAGTTTCACTGAATTAAATTATCGCTCACGTATTTAAAAACTCAGTATAGTTACACAGCAACGCACGCAGTGAATTCTTAGGGATGTTTATTTACATAATAAATTATGTTCACAAATTTCGAAAGTGTTTAATATTCCTTTTGTTACTTCTGTCTCTGAATTAAAAACACTCGTTCAAAAGAGAACACAAAGTAAAATTAATTTGTAAACACGGTCCAAAGTTCCTCAGTCTATCTCATTGCCATTTGTTATGTACTTCACATAACGTAGTATATCTCTTTATGGAATTAAAAGTGCTCCGTCTTTGTATATATAAAACCAGACCAACTATCGTAAGAAGTAAATGCATTCTATTTTGAGCAATAATGTTACAGTTATTTCACTAGTGCCTTTAACCTCCGTGAGCCTTAGGAACCTTATCTCCCAAAATGACTGCGTTTCCTTCCTTTCATTTTATGCAAAAGTAATTGATGAATATGAATAATAACAAGACACGTATTTACGAACGCTATCACTTGCCTGGAAAATAGTCATTTATATGATGCACTTATTAATAACATTTTTGCGCTATATAAGCATTAAAGATGCTCCGATTGGCTTATTGTGTAACATTATATTTTCGTATAATTATCGTATTATATTCACATTAGTTTTATATTACATAAATATATAATTATTTGTACAGAGGTTAGTGTAAATTTTCAAACGGTATTTAAAAATGAACCCTAACTAAAAATAGACAACGTACATTCATCAACAAATATGTATATTCATAATGTACCTTTGCATATTTTAGAATATGAAGGATATCTTTTCTCGCTTTCCGAAAGGCATATTCCTATTACATAATTCAAAAATGTTGAAAAATGCGTAGTATTAAAATTTTTAAGAGTAAAATAAGAACCATCATTAATCGAAAAGGGAACAACTGTCAATCGTAACTTCAACATGAACAGAAAATTCCATACGATTACCCGAAAAAGTTACGTACTGTTTCTCTAACGTTTCTGAAGCGAAATAACTGGTAGCAAGGCAAAAACCGCCAAAGCAGGAATCAGTTGTAAAGTCCTTAAACACATCTGTAACAGCAATAAATGAAATGATAAATTAAGAATTACAATTTAAAAAAGTTAAAAAATGTAATTTTTACCAGCATTTTCCAATGCATGTGGCTCAATACAGAACAAGTTGAAGAACTCTGTATGAAAATTATTTAGAAGAAGATAAATGTTAATACATCGTGACCCTTGAGATAGCATGATTTTACCTAAATGAATGCAACCAAAAAAACGTATGGTTATTACCGAAAACGAAGAGGAAAACGGTTCCGTCAATGAAAGGAAGTTTCAGTAAGGGCTTATGATTGTTAGATTGGATTTAGGATTCTCTTACAATGGAAAATTAAGAATAAAATAGTGGTAAAAAGTTTTAAAATTAACTCAACTTTTGGTTAAAATAAAGGTTTACCCCCAGAAGAAATTCCATTTCTCTTTGCCAGTGACATTTTTATCCCAATGGCTTCAATGAATCTTCATCAACACAGAACAACAAGTTATACTTTGAAACATACTACTGCATTCCTTCAAAAAACAAGAACTGATGCAAGTATTGCATATACACCTTTTCGACGTATGTCTGGGGCTTCACTTGTGGACTCTTGTGCGTTTGGTCGATTGAAGAAAGAGCTCTTTCTACGCGAAACTCGGTTACGATGGACGGATTTTGGAAAGTAATGGAAGAGGAATAGACATCAACAATCCTGAAAATCCCTTCTATCATGGAAATCATGACGCAGATTTATAGTCCAGAAAAACAGCTACTAGATTGAATATTTACAAAACTAATTTTTACATGTGAAAAATTAACAAAACGGCCCCGAAATCGTTCTAAAAATATGCAAAAACCCAATGTATTTCGTATTCTTCTTATTTATTTACATCCATTGCTTACCAGGAATATTTTCATTCTTTTTTTTTATGCTTGTCTCCAGAACTAAGATTGGGTTTCCGCAAAAAGCTCTTCCTCAGAAGTCTCGGTTTACTATCATTATCCAATTCACTTTGTTTTTCTCTTTTTATTTGACAGTTAGGTTAGTTTATTTCTTTACTACTATCCGCCAAATAAAAAGGAGATATATGATTATTTTATTTTGCTATATTTTTTATTTTGCTATATATTTTTAATTATTGCCATTCTTGTTCTTGATTCTATTGTTTGCAAAATTTTGTAGGAATATATAAATTGTAAATTAGTTCCTTTTCAATTATATAAAATTGAAGCACGGAAGTATAAGAAATATTAAAAGCTCAAACAAATACGACATTTATTTTAATACTAACACTAAACTATTGATCGTAGTTACTGATTACAACTGAAGGAAAATGTTTTTCTTTTGTGCACTTCCCGTTCTTAAACACCTTTTTGATAATGTGTTATTAAAGCAGAAAATATTAGCTTTTAAATGTAATTAAATTTATTCAGTAAAACGTTAAATTTCTTAATTTTTTTTTCCTTTTTTTAAATTAAAAGGTTGTTTTTGAACCCAAACGTTTTATTAAACATTGCATTCACTATTCTATAGTAGCCAAATGAATGAAAAATTTATATGTGCTATTTGAACACAGTACATCATGCATTTCAATAATAATACTTAAATCCTGCTCTTACATATTACCTACTCATCGTTTGTACTAGCTCTGGGAAAATTATGATAGAAGATATTACATCTTTTGCTGCTTATGGATCGGTGGATACTTAAGTAGTATGTTAACTATAAAGAACGTAGATAAGACCCACTGATTTTGAAACTTTTTCTGCATTAAGTAAATTATACATCGGTTTTTGAAGTAAAGTAAACTCTCATCCAACTGGAAAGGTATAGCACACACGTATAAATTAATTTTGCATTTCTACTGACGTTTTTTAACTTTGATAAAATATTTCCTTGTTCATTCACTGATATCTTCAATATTCACGGGGAGAACTTCAAAAAAGGGAACTCATATTTGTATGTCTTATTTTTCGTAAATTTTTATGCATTAAAACTAGAGCACTATTAATATTTACCGTGCCTTTTCGTACTTTCATTCATGGAACACAGAATTAAGAATTTTGAAATGACAATTGCTGCCAAACTATGAATTGTTGTTTATAAGGCATCAAAAAAAAGTTTAAAAGAAATTTAACTTTATGCTATGTGAAATGTATTAAAAATGTTGTTGATGAAGGACAAAATGTATTAAATCAACAATTTTCTTTAAGTCAACTAGGATAATCTAACTAGGTTTTTACTACATTCCCTTTCTGCATTTATCGCCACATTCTCACCAGTTTCAGTAGATGTATAACGATTAAGATATACCCTGAAGAATGTGTAACGACCCCTATGGCCCAGTAACATAGAAGCAATACTTAAAATCCGTAGCAGTGGGTTTGATTTACACTTTATTAGGAGATAGTATTTTATACTTATTTATTTCCTAACATACACATGAAGTATAGAACAAGCAAAAGACATTTATGAATACAAAAACGTAAGTGATGCCATTCACAAAAAGGATAATGTTATTTTTAATAGTTCGCTGGCTTTGCCGCAACATCCTCCCCACCCTGGTCAACCTCCAGGGGGATGACCAGCTGCACAGGTCGGGTAATGGTATGTCCATTGGTGCGCAGAACACAAGTACGGACTTTTTTGTCGCGGCCAAGGATTAGCTCCTCAACACGGGCCCTTTTCCACGTGTGGCGAGGTCTAACATCTTCTTGTAGTAGGACAATGTCCCCTTTCCGTATTTTATTTGTTTCAGATGGATTCCGCACTTGATGAAATCTACGCAAGTCCATCAAATATTTCTTTTGCCATCTTTTCCAAAAGGAGTCCATCAAATGTTGACAATTCTTCCACATACGATTTAAATTTGTTTCAACATTTGTGGGGCTGGAATGAATAGTAGTTAATTTCTTTCCTATGAGGAAGTGCGAGGGTGTTAAAGCTTCCTCTGAGTCATCTTTTATTCCGTATTCGTAGACAATCGGTCTACTGTTAAGAGCGCTTCAATATCACATAATACAGTGATCAAACCAGCGTCATCCAAAAGAGCCTTACCTAATGTTTTCCGAAGGCATCGCTTAATTGAGCCTACCATTCTTTCCCACCATCCTCCCCACCAAACCGCTCGGGGGGCGATGAATTTCCATTTGATGTTGTGGTGGGCATAAAACTGCTGTGCCTTGGCAGAGAATATAGTATCCCACAATAATTTCAGCTCTTTGTCGGCAGCGCAGAACGTTGGGGCATTATCAGTGTACACTGTATGAGGAAGTGAACGTCTAGAGAAAAAACGTTGCAATGCAAGTAGGAAGACGTCAGTACGCAGATCGGAAATTAATTCTAAGTGGATAGCTCGAGTTGTAGCACATGTGAAGATGACAATGTAAGCTTTTGTAACGGAGTTATTATTTTTTACGTAGAGCGGTCCAGCAAAATCAATTACGGTAGTTTCGAAAGGAGATGACTTTTGAATTTGCTCAGCTGGTAATGGAGCTTCTATCTGCTCACTTCTCTTTTGTTTCAGTACTTCACATGGAAGGCAAGTCTTTATGACCTTTTTAATGGCTTTCCTTGCTCTTAATATCCAATATTCTGAACGAAGCTGAGAAAGTACAATCCGAACACCGAGATGATGCATTCATAAATGTGTTTGGCATATCAGTAGGCTTGTAAAATGATGAGAACCTTCCAATAATATGGGATGTTTTTCAGCATGAGATAAATCAGGAAATTTTAGTCGACCACCAAGACGTATAATATTGTTCTTGAAAAAGGGTTAAATTGTTTTTTCCTTGATTTCTTAGGGAGTGATTTTCCTGTCAACAGAGCTTCATATTCTGAAGGAAAGAATTCTTTCTGAACGGTCTGTATCCAATACATACGAGCTTTATTCAGTTCTGTGGCATGTTACTCACCCATGAACTTTTCTTGTTTCCTACAGTTGTGAATAAAGCGAAGAATCCAAGATGTTACACGTAACAATCGAACGTAAGAACTGTAGTTTCCAGCCTTTATGATTGGTTGAGTAGATACGATGTGAAGGGTCTAAACGTTTTCTTTCTTTGCCTCGAAGTTATGACTGTAATCTTTAGAAATAGTATTAGAATGAGGCCAATATTCTAAAGATTTGACTAACTATGGAGGGCCGTTCCACCAAATTTCCAGGTTTTTTAGTGTTGATGGTGAAACACCTCAAGAAAGTTTGTCAGCTGGATTGTCTTTGCCAGAGCAATGTCTCCATCGTGAAGGATTGGTATAGGAAATAATTTCTGTTACTCTGTTGCTAACAAAAGTTTTCCATTTGTTGGGGTCACTTCGAATCCACCACAAGACAACTTGAGAATCACTCCACAATGTTGTATTTGACGAACAGATGTTTTTCAGCACAGAAATATTGCATCAATCGTGCTCCTATCGGGGCCGCCAAGAGCTCCAAACGAGGTTTCTTTATAGGAGCTAGTTTGTTGCGACTACACACTAAATTCACATTTTATTGGTCACCTTTAAAGGTAACAATGTACAGAACTGAACCATAGGCACGTTCAGATGCGTCACAAAACACATGAATAGCAAAAGGAACATGTAATGAAATGCCTATGCATCGAGGAATTTGAAGGGAGCAAATGTCATCAAGTTCTTTCACAGCTGGATACCATAAAGTTGATAAATTAGCAGGTAGTAATTCATCCCACTTGATTCCAAGAATCCATGTATCTTGGAATAAGATTTTCCCAAGAATAGTAAACGGTAAAAAAGGCCTAAGGGATCATAAAAACTAGCAATGCAGAGGAGTAACCATCTCTTTTAAAGTGGTTTGTCTGTAGAAACACAGAGGGAAGTCTTGAATGCATGCTTCAAAGTATCAGAAGTTGTATTCCAGCCAATACCTAAGACAGTTGTTTCCGTTTTGTGAGATTCTTCATGTGTTTGTAGTATATCTTTGAGTTTCAAAGAGTGTGTAGCCCATTTTTCCATAGGCAAATAAATTTAATGGCATTAGAGCCATTAAATTTATGATCTCATGATATAGCATTATGATGCGTGATTCAGTTTCCATACTAACAAGAAATCATCCATATAGAGATGTTTATCTATCATTGGTGCAGCAATTGGCAATTCTGCGATATGCTTTGCAGCCAATTCTCGTGTCGCAGCACAGAGTGAAAACGGACTGCAAGTAACGCCAAATGGTAAGCGAGTAAATCTGTAAACAGTTATTTCATCTGACAACCAATAGATTCAGGAAGAAGATTCGGGTCAGCTTCCAAGGCATCGTTCAGTGAAATCATTCCTGGAGCATGCGAGGAAGTATCAAACACAATTCTCCACTTGGTTTCAGATTGCATTTTCTTTTTTACAGCATGACGAGGAAGGTAATATACTGGCTTCTCATTGGATTCATCTATGTAACAAACTTCAGTATGCTTTTGTTCAATGTAATTCAGCATGCATTTGTCATATTGTGTCTTTAACACATCACTAGATGCAAGTCTTTTTTGGAGAGAATGAAATCTGTTTTCCGCTATAATTTTGTTTGTAGGCAAAGGTGTAACCAATGGTTTTTTAGGCAGAGACACAATTCTTCGATTGTCTTCAATGCTGTAAGTTTTGTGAAATTCTGATAAAATTTCTCCATCTCGAGTAGTCATTCTTCGTTTCTGCGCGTCTTGTATCCCTATGGAGTCTAATTCCCAGAAGCGACGTACCTGATCATTTAAACAATCAGTTTTAACTTGCACACAAACTTGATGAACAGAAGTCTTCTCAGCGATTGTACTATTTGTTCTTGTTCCACTAAGAACCAACCCAAACACTGACGGTACCATAACAAAAGATTCTGAAAGCTTGATTAGGGCCTCTGCGGAAATTTATTTTTAAAATTTCTAAGTCTCATTTCGACCCGGAATTTAGCTCCGGTTAAGAATAGTGTTTTAGACTTTTAAGATACATTCAGATAAATCGCAGAGGATACTTAAGGCGTTTCAATCAAAATATTTCCAGATAGTATTCCAGACAACAGTGCAAATGTTTAACACCCTTTCATAAATAGTGACTCGATCATTCTGACGGAAATGAAGACTAAATTTAAATTTTCGATTTGTAAATGTTTTTCAAATTTGATTGGCTTTCAACAGTTTCTTTTTTTTATCTCCGATATGGATTTACCAAACATACCATTACAATTTGAAAACTCGTAAATACGTATTTTAATGCAGATTTAATCTGTATGTTGGTCAAAATCAGGCAGACGCATTTATTAAACTAATGTTTATAGCCATTTGCTCTGGGCGCAATTACTTGTCAGTAAACTGTAGCCTTAATGAGCAAAGCATCCGAAGATTTAATAGGAAATAAATGATGAGTGCTAGCTTTCAACTCCTGTCACTATTCATTATTGCAAGCAAACTTTGAGTTATTTTCGCGAACGTTAAACTAATGAAATTTTTCCAAAAAGAAATGAGATTTTCGAAGAAAAAATGACATAGAAAACAAAGTGTAATAATCTTCAACGCAATTAACCATAAACCTTTCTCAACAAAATTAAACATGAATTTCCTTTGCACTGTCAACACTTTATAATGATCAGACATGTTTCGATTACTGTCTTACAGTTTGAAGACTTTAAAGCTGAAAATGTTAATGCTTTTTAATTTTAAAATTACAACATTTTAAAAAATTTAAAAACACTTTCTATATTACACTCTTACGCTGATCCCAGTTTAATGCCTAAAATAATTTTACACTAAAAAGTTATCATTAGCTGATTTATTTAAGAATTAAGCTCTGAAATACAAGATATAGAGCATGAAAGCGTATAGCAAGAAGAACATGCTGAAGAACAAATATCAAAGACACTAATTCTTTTGGCTTTTTATTAGTATTTTTAAAATAAGAAAGCAAACATTTAAAAGGAACTATTAAAATAATGTAATGTCCATTATTGCTGTTGTAATGCCAGTTGGTAAGGAAAAATGAAACGTGCTATAATTTTATTGCTTTATGTGCTAGTTGTTAAAGGAAAATAATTTTGCTGGGATATAATTCTGTCATAAATTATTATCAAGGGGAGACATACGGGTTCATTTAATAAAAAATACGAATTATTTTAGACATAGCTGCACATTTATTTCACTTAAACTTGCAATCAATATTTCTCTCTAGAGGCAATACTTTTTATTTTGTCAGGATTAGAAATCACTTTAGTGGAATAAATAAACACGTTTTTGAAATATTTAAAATATAGCACTGAAGCATGTCCTTTTGCAACACCGATCCTGCTTTCGTAAAACTCTGCATTATATTCAAATAAAATATTTAGCTCTACGTTTATATCTATAATCAATATTTAAGGACATTACGCCTAAAACCATCTTTTCCTAACAAAATGCTTAAAGACTTCTTGAAATGTAAGCAAGAAAACGGGGTAAAAGCGAATATTATCATAAAACAATTTCTAAGCGTTATTTAGTATACGATTATCATAAAACGGAAAGAACTAGTCCTTTTTTCTTCCGCATTCACTGACGAATTAAATTCCAATATATCGACTATCCAAGTGATAAACATGTTTTCAACAAGAATATGAAGCTTTTGTATAGTTTGAAATAAGGGGAAAAAGCGGGAAAACGTTTATTTGCAATAAAGTATTCCCCAGTAATAAAAGAAAAACTGTTCTGTAAGGAAAATTGAAGATAGTTTTGAATTGTTAATGTTAGGTACCGAAAGAAAAGCTATTGTAATGGAACAATAAAAAAGGTGCCCTGTTTGTGTCTACGAAATATAGCGCTCGTTGTTTAGTACTTCAGCAATGTACAAGAGATGAATCATTCGTTACTTGGATTGAGACATACGTCAATTTTTATAAAGAATTATAAATAGATCAATTTTTATATACCGGCTTTACTCAAAAAAATTCATTTTAGGTTTGTTTAATTTTATTTTCAAGAAAGAAAAGTAGACATTAAAGAAATTAATGCTTACTATTAAAAATGAAAGTATTCATCAAGTGTGATTTTACTTAAATTTTGGCATTTAACTAATGACTGCTATCAAATTGCAGGGAATTATATTTATTTAACTAATATTTTAAAGTTTTATTTGGAAACTTTCCTATAAGCCTTCATTCCCCTAATTGTCAGTGCCAGAATAGTTAAATGTTGTAGCGCGCGTGAACGCATGCAAATTTTATATGTTGAAGGAAAGTTAAAAAACCGAGTTTCGGTAGGAAAAAGGGATAGTTGGGCTTTAGTTGCCGTCTCTGCCGTCTGACGCTTGCTGATTGCTGGTTCAAGTGGCTTAATTGCATTTATTTGCTGCCACTAGTTTTAGCAGGCGGTTGAAGTTCGGGATTTCGCTGAGCCCTGTAGCTTAGTTTAGCACTTGCTAAACATTTCAACTTTTAATTTTCAATTATTCGACTTTCAGTTACCGCCCAAGTAGAGGCGAAGTTTGTTAGCGTCGAGTGTAAATTTTAAAGAGTTAATAAAGGGTTTGAACCCTTTTTCTGTGTAGTTTCCCGCTAATCCTGTATCCAGACAGAAGTTAACCCACCTGGAGCCTACAAAATTAAAAATAATTTAACAGAAGTTGAAATGCTAGAATTTACACTTTACTTTTTTTTACTTTGAACTATCCTTT